TCATTTTCGATAACCATCCTTCTTACAGATGACACCAACCTAGTTTCAGAAAGAGTATCCTCAGGCAATTTAGAAACGGATGGACAAAGGCGATAGATGGCCAGATTACCAATATTGACACAGACCTTATTCAGATTAAGATATAGATAGAATAGGTAGTTGTTGGTAGTGATGTGGATAATCAGAGTAATGATGATAATGTTGATGATGGTGAAATGATAATACTAAAGCTAACAGTATCAATTATAAGTATATCATTACGATTATTCCTACTGTTAAATAATCATGCTAATAATGACCATAAGAAAAACAATACTTATGATTTATGATCTATATTAGTCATAGAATTAATGATAGTAATGATGGTGATGGTAGTGATGCCAATAAAGATAATGATGATAATAATAAAAATGATAAGTATTATGATTATTATTATCATTACAATAATACTAATACTAATACAATGATAATGATAAAAATGATATTAATAACACTAATGAAATGGTAATAACAATAATAACAATAAGATAATGATGATATTGATAGTTATAATCATGATAATAATAATAATGAGGATAAAAATAATGGTAATGCTGATAAGAGCAGTAATACAGATGTTAACAGCAGCAGCAGCAATAATGTTAATGATAATGATGATAATGATGATGATGGGATAATAATAATGATAGTAATGATAATAATAATGATGATAATGGTAATAGCAATAATGATGATAATAATGATGATGATGATAATGGTAACAGTAATAATGATAATGATAATGATAATAATAATAGCAATAATAGCAACAATAATGATAAGGACAATGATGATAACATTGATACTAAGAATAATGATAATAACAATATTGATAATGATAATAGTATTGATAATAATAATAATGATAATAACGAAAGCAAGGACGGCAACAGCAACAATAATAATTAAGATAATGATAATGATAAAAAATGATAATAATGATAATAATGATAATGATAATAATGATAATAATAATAGTAATGATAATAGAAATAATAGTAATAGTAATAATGTTAATATTGATATTATGAATAATAGTAATACTAATAATGATAATAATAATATTATGAATAATAGTAATGATGGTGATGATGATGATGATGATAATGTAAAATCTTCGTCATCATCATCATCATTTTAATGATAATAATAATATTATGAATAATAGTAATGATGGTGATGATGATGATGATGATAATAATAATAATGATAATGACAATAGCAATAATGATGTTAATGATAATAGCAATAATAACCATGATAAAAGTAATAATGATAATAATGATAATAATTATAATGATAATAAAATTATTGATAATAATAATAATAATAGTAATAATAATAATGATAATAATAATGATAATAATTATTATCATATAATAGTATTAACAACGATGGTGATGATAATAATAACAATGATGAAAATGATTATAGTGATGGTAATGATAATAATAAAAGTGATAATAACAATGGTAATAATAATGATAACAACATTAATAATAATGACAATAATGGTAATGGTAATGATGGTAATAATAATTATGATAATAATAATGATAATAATGATAATAACAATGATAATAACGATAATAATAATAATGATAATGATAATACTACTACTAATAATAGTAATAAAATGACAATAATAACAGTAATGATAATAATGATAATAATAATAATGATAATAACACTAATAACAACAACAATTATAATGATAATGATGCTAATGATAATGATAATAATGATGATGATAACAATGATAAACTAATGATAATAATGATAATGATAATTGTAATTATGATAGTAACAATAATAAATTAATCATGATAATGATGATGATCATAATAATGGTAATAATCATAATGACAACAAAAAAAGAAAGAAAGAAAGAAAGAAAGAAAAAATCTATATCGTGGAAAAAATCAGCATCTATATATAAAAAAAAATCTACTCGATCCTTTGTCTAAAAAGAAAAAAAAAGGTATCTTTCTGCGTAGAACCTAGCACAGCTTACTCCCCCCCCCCCCCCCTCACCGCCCACCGTCTTCCATACCCCGCCACGCCCGACCGTAATAGGTAAGCTTGTGTAATGGTCATTCCTTACTCGCCTTTGCCCCTTCCTCGTTTTAATCCCTTCCTGCCCTTCCTCCTCCCCCCCTTCCCATATCTCTCCCCCTCCCTTCTTCCTTCTATTCTCGTTTTCTCTTTTCCTACCTCCTCTCTTCCTTAATCCCGTTATTTCTTCTCCCTTTTCTACCCTTAACCCTCTTCCCCATTCCTTCTCCCTTCCTCTCCTTCTCTCCTCACCCCCTTTTGCTCATTCTCCACTCTCCTCCCTTAACCCTCTTTCCCATTCCGCCTCCCTTCCTTCCTCCCTCCTCCCCCTCTTTGTCCTCTCTCCTTCTCCTCCCTTAACCCTCTTCCCCTTTCACCTCCCTTCCCCTCCTTCCCTCCTCACCCTCTTTGTTCCTTCTCCCTTTCTCCTCCCTTCTCTACCTTCCCTCCTCGCCTTCTTTGTCCCTTCTCCCTTTCTCCTTCCTTCTCTACCTCCCCTCCTCGCCTTCTTTGTCCCTTCTCCCTTTCTCCTCCCTTCCTCTCCTTCCCTTCTCTCCCACCCCCTCACGTCCCGTAGATTTGTGCAAGTCACGGTGACGAGGCGGTCTGCATATATGAGGCCGTACCTTCTCTGGGGGGATTGTACTTTGTCACTTCGAGGACGCCGTGTAATCTGAAGCGTATTTTCATTACATACACACGGACGCAGACTCTCTCTTCTCTCTCTCTCTCTCTCTCTCTCTCTCTCTTCTCTCACACACACACATACTCATTATATACACACGGAAGCATCTCTCTCTCTCTCTCTCTCTCTCTCTCTCTCTCTCTCCTCTCTCTCTCTCTCACACACACACACACACACACGTATAACACACGGAACTCTCTCTCTCTCTCTCTCTCTCTCTCTCTCTCTCTCTCTCTCTCTCTCTCTCTCTCTCTCTCTCTCTCTCTCTCTCTCTCTCTCTCTCTCTCTCTCTCTCTCTCACACACACACAAAGCAACGCACAGATCATCAGCTTCAATTCGACGTTAAGTGTGGAAGACCGCCCATCAACGCCCGCACAGAGACACATGGTTTATTCGTCTCTGGGGTGAATGTCACTTGAAGACAGTTATTTGTTCACATGATGCCTATTGTAGCAGAGTTAACGGCCATAAATATAATATACTATATCCCTTACCAAAACCCTAATCATGTTCCAAGGTCATTGTGGGATTTATGACCACTTACAGTAATTATAATTTTTTTCCTTGTCTAGTTTTCGAATAAAGTTCAATTTCTCTTTATGTTCAGTGTATTCTATTCAACAATTAAGCTTCCTTAATTAAAAGAAAAAATATTTCACCTATTTGTTTATTTAGCCATTCTCATACCAAAACAAACAAAATAAGTAAACCAAAAAAAAAAAAAAAAAAAAAAAATCAATGAATGCCTTAACAAACAAACAAACAAATTATCAGATAGATATGTAAATGAAAAAAAAGAAAGAAAAAAAGAATCTCATTGATCCGGATGTCATTTCGCCCTCGGGAAGGTTGCCAAGCCTACGTAAGCGTCGTGCCATGACAGCGCACCAGAAACGGGGTTAATCTCACGGCCTGACCCTCTACGCCTCGCACTCCCCAGGTAATGGCGGCAGGTGGCAAATGAAGGTTATTTCAGGGTTGAGGTACATAATCACATACACGCACATACGCACGTATACACGCTTCCGTATACATATACGCGGCCATATGTATTCCTTCTCACAAATGTGCACACACACACACACACACACAGACATACAGACACACTGACACACATAAATAGACAAACACACATACACAAATAGATATGCAAACATAAATGCACTCAAACACACAAACAAATAAAGAAACACACACGCACATACAAACCAACCAAAATGAAAGAAAGGGAAATTCCTCTCTCAGCAATACGTGCCGTTCCATGCTCTCCTGTGACATTTGGGAAGCTGAAGCGAAATAAATACATTTTCTAATTCTGTTTGCTTCCTTTTTGTGTATGTTTTCCTTTGATTAATATTCTTTCCTGCAAGGTGCACACGATTCTTACTTACGTGGGGACTTTCATTAATTCTGACAAGTGTTCTGTGGTTAATTGGTTTTCATTAAAAGGGTAATTAGGGATTTCCTTGACTGGAAAAAGTACCTATTTTTCGAGTTTGTTTAAGAGGACTGTTTTTTTTTTCGATGATTTTACTTAAAATAAGACACTTTTCTTTGCCAGGTTTTGATATAGATGCTTATCATTTTCCGCTGAATCTGACTTAGAGGATATTTTTTCCTTTTCAAATGTAAATAAACATTTCTCAATACCTGATTTCGGCTCATTCCTTGCCCTAACTTTGACGAAAATCATACTTTGAATAGAAAACGGGACAGGGACTCAAGTACTCCAAGATCTGTCTATTATTTCAATTACACATAACGTATAATAAAATAAGAGATAGACGGAAAAAAATGTGAAAAAATAAGTTTAAATTTTCCAAATGTGAATCTTACGGATATATTAGCAGGTTTAAAGGTTCCCTTGTGTTTTTCTCCAATAATTCCATGACATAGAATGACAATTAAATTCATAAATAAAATATAACAATGTAATTAGTAAAATAAAATATTTATAACAAAGCTGAACAAGCTAGAATTAGAATAATTGCAGTGAATAAGGAATTACAAAACAAAAACAAAAACAAAACAAAACAAAACATTAAGATGATAAAAACAAACTCGAGAAAAAAGCACACATTACACGTAGTATGATTAGGCCTAAGTGCAAGCTAACCTCGTCAAATTATCTCTTAGGCCTTAGGCTGAACAATCTTGCCTCGTCACATTTGCTGTAACTCAATATAGGCCTACCTAGAAATACGTCATTTAGGGCAGGT